TGAGGATGATGAGGAGAGAGGATGAGGATGATGAGGAGAGGGTCAGGATGATGAGGAGAGGGTGAGGATGATGAGGAGAGAGGATTCCCCCCTCGCCTGCCCAGAGGGTGTAGCCGTGGAAAGGGCTTTTAACCCTTTAAGTGCAGCAGAAATAAGATGCACAGCTCCATGGTCGTCTGTCATGACAGGAAGAGCCAAGTTTATTCAGAAACACTCTTGGTTTTATAGCAGGACTGCAACTCCAAGAGCAGAGAAAAGGAGATTGGTTCAGAGAGAAGACACCCCAGGGCCTGGGCACACACCACAACAGGGGTTTGATTTTGTTATTAATTCATTTTTATTTTGACCAAATCATCACCCTGGGAGAAATTCTCCCTGGCCTTGACCCTGACCAGCTCATGGGCTGGGAACAGAGCTGAGCAGCTCCAGCCTGGAATATTTTCCAGGCTGTAATTGTCTCACTTTCTCAATGTGTGTCCCTACACATCCCCTGGGCCAAGTCTTCAAGGCCTGTACAGCAGATGGGAGAGGTTTGAGGAGTGCAGAGAAAGATTGAGGAGGTGATAACAGCACTGTGCAGCTGACACTGACCCGGGCTATCCCGAGGAAAAACAGGTCCTTGTGGCCAGCACGGGATGGGGAACTGTGCCCATCACCTCCACCCCCAGTGGCCACCTGGGCCCTGCCTCATTTCCCGTGACATTCCACTGAATTCTGTAGTGACATTCCAGCTCCTTTCACTCTAGATCTCTCTGCAAACAGGCATGGAAGGGTTTCTGCTAATTATAAATCAGGGAAGATATTAATTGAAAGTAATAACAACAAGAATAGCTCCCTGCCAAAAAAAAAAATACAAAAAAGAAACCTAAGCCAAACCAATACAATAAAAAACAAAATAAACAAAACCAATAAACATAAAATAAAAATTTAAAAAATTAAAAAAAAATAAACAATAAACAAAAAAACACAAGCCTGAGCCACCACCAAACCCTATAGTGGAACGTGATCAATAATAAAATAAATATATAAATATATAAATATGTAAATAAATAAATAAATAAATAATAAAAAGAAATGACCCCCCCATCCTCCATGACCTCTGTGCCTGCTCGGGCAGGGGGTGCTGCAGAGGGCCAGGCTGCCCAGGGACCCCTCCCAGCCCCTCCCAAATTGCTGCATTCAGTTCTGAGCCAGCACTGAGAGAGCCAAGAGCAAAACAGAAAGCTGATACAGAATCCTGCAAAATCCCACCCAAGAACATTTCAGTATAAAATCGTAAGTTTTAACAGAAGCTGAGAAAACCAGCAGTGTTAGAAAATAAGCTTCAAGCAATTAGAAGGGCTCAGACAATAAATTTAATTGGGATGAACCCTCTCTTTCTAACACGTGAGCAGTGCCAGCAAATATCCAGAACCAGTGGAAGGGGGACCCCCAGCAGCAGAGGTTTCCCACACAGCAATGATGTAGAACAGGGCAGGGCAAGCAGCTGCCAAAATTAAAACTTCCCCATTGCAACGAAGGATTTTATTTTAATTTTACTGTAGCCACTATTCCTAAAGTGCAAGATTTAAGAGTCTCGAGAAATAAAAATAAATAAATTTTAAAAGACCCCCCATTATATAAAAAAGACAAACCTCATTTTTCTTTACTGTCGTGTAACTCCTGGAAAAAGCAATCAAATCATGCAACAAGATCAGAGGTACAAAAGAAATCTGACTTGAGTTTCTGCACCAAACCACAGCAGGGTTTGTCCTGCTGCCCTTTCAGAATAGGAACAAACAAAGGAATCCATATTTTCTATATTAACATTTCTCATGGTCATCTTCCATTTTTTAAGGTGGATTGCACCACAGACCTATTATATTCTTGCTGGGAAGAAAGATGATTTGAGTTGTTTGAGCTTTGAGGTGCATTTAAAAATAACTTTCACTAAAGTCAAATACTCCTAGGCTTGAAGATAAGGCATAAATACAATTAGTCACTTTTTTGCAGAAAGAACACATTGAAATGCCTTTTCACGTGAAAATTTAAGAAAATCTTAAATCCAATTCTGGACGACACCAGATGTCAAAGATGAGAGCTGTCACCAATTCTGAGTTTGGTTTGACCCCAAAGCCTGGCTTTGACTTTGTGTTCAGCAGCTCTGAAAATGGGCCTGGACTGGCAGAGACGTGTTTGGAGCTGGGTCCCCTCCCATTCAGCACCAGCCCCCAGCGGCACAGGGACAGGAAAACGATTTTTGGGGTCATCTGGTGGTCACTGCCCTGCAAAGAGAGAGCAAGGGCAGCAACACCCACGGAGCTCTTCGGGGAAAAAAGGCCAATTTATTGTACAGCCAGCCCGGATTTAAAGTGTGTCAGTGCAGCCAGGACAGCACAGGAGCTCATGGGGCAATTGGGAAAAACATCCTTGGGACAGCACCTCAGGATGTGTCCCACGGGAAAGACACCAGGGGTTAATTTTTATTATGAATTTTATTCTGTTTGTCACCAGGTTCTCACCCTGGGAGATTTCCTCCCTAACTGAAGCTGCAGTCAGCCTGGGAATGGAGCTGAGAGTCAGGAGAAATCCAGAATTTCCAAGCTGTGATTCCCCAGCTCTGTCAATGTGTGTGTCCACAAATTTCCGAGCTGTGATTCCCCAGCTCTGTCAATGTGTGTGT